TAGGCTCAAAGTTCTGCAAGCAAAGTAATATCTCAGAGTAGCTGCGGACAAAAGGCACCTCCTGCATGAAGCCCTGGATAGAGCAAAGGGTCACAGACTGAAAAGAGGAAAGTCTTGGATGGCGCAAGCTGAAGACACAATTGGACATGTGTGCAGGCTTGATAAATTTAGGCGAGGAGAGGAGTGGCCAAAAAGTCCGATCATGTTTCAGACTTTTGTAGGGTTCCAATCACTTTGGGACGTGAGGGCAGAGACTGGCCAGCGGGTGCTGCAGAATCAGAAGTTTAACAAATAATTCATGACAATTCCCGCCCAAGTGATGTGGTTGTCTATACAGATGGCTCTGTGGTGTGGGGGGGGGGGGGGGGGGGGGGGGGTAGACGAAGTGCATGGGGGTTCATAGCGAAGGCGAATGGACGTCGCTTGGCGCAACAAAGCTTGGCATATGATATCACAACGTCTAGTTTGAGAATGGAGGCAGTCACTGCTGCCTATTGCTGGATTGAGAATCAGCTGTACACAAATGTCGTCATTGTAACTGACTCAGAGAGCATGCTGAGAAAAATGGAGACAGGCATGCTGCGTGCAGAGTGGCAAGCATCACTTCAGAGGTCCCAGGTAGTTAGCATCCTTTGGTTATTTTCTCCAGGTCACGCCGGTGTGTTGGGAAATGAGCAGGTGAATAGACTGGCCGGTTCTGCACTACTTGGTGATGAACTGATATATGACAAGCTAGATGTTGTGAGGGCCCATTGGGAGCGAGTGAACAGTGCCGAGGAACAGATAGATCATTACAGAATGGCACTGCGAGAAGTTACAAGGAGATCTGGCCGACATTCGACACTCAGGGGAAAGGCGAGACGGATATACAATCAGACTGTTATTGGTACCATCGGAATTTTAACCCTTCGCTTGCTGCTGAAGACGGGAACTGAGCGCTTATGGGAGTGTCCCGAATACTGTGATGTCGATTCTTATTTCAACATTCAACATTCATTTGTGTTTATGTTTGTTTCTTTCTGTTGGCGAGTTTGGAAAAAAAAACAACTTGTCCAGTTCCTTCCATCTGCACTAATTATGTGGCCTAACCTCCCTATAATCAAGACTCGAACCCTCCCAACCCAACTCAGACCTACACCGCCCTGAGTCGCGTTAAATAATCCGTTAAATATTACAAATTAATACATTTGCTGTTATCGGCTGGCACTCTTCGGAGCCGAGGAAAGATAAGAGGATACTTCTTATAGTCCGTGCCGTGTGGCGTTGGTAGTCATGACTATCCTCAACCTTCTGTCTCCTATACTTTCTCTCAGTCACTTTTGATGACAGATGATTTTCCAACCAATGGTGTAAAACCGTCCAGCATCTCTCTCGGTCTGGTCTCTCTTTGCCTACCCCCCCCCCCCCTTTTTTCCCTAACACCACCGGTCAAGATGTACTCCACTTTTCTCCTCATCACATGACCAAAGAATGCAGATTGTCTCCTTCTTATGTGGGAAATCTGTTCTCTCCGTGAGTCAGTTAGATACAAGAGATCTTCATTTCTCTTCTTATCTGTCCTCATAATTCGTCTATAAAAGTATATCTCGCCCGCTTCCAATTATTTCATATATAACTAAAATAATAAAGAGAATTATAATAAGAACAATAATGAGAAGATTTAAGTCAGAAAGTGAAGATGATTAGTTTGGTTTTGTTGAAGGTACTGCACAAATAACGCCATTTTTATCTTGAGAACATTTACAAAATGCACATGTAAATAACTGAAAAATAAAATGTACCTGAAAAAGCTAAGATTTTGAAATTTAAATAGACATTCACTGGTTTCAATAGTAATTTGAAAATAAAAAATAAAAATATGGCCATAACATGCAGTCAGGAACATAACATAAGAGAACATAACCATTGACCCATTAGTGTTTTAGACGTGCACAAAACCCGCCATCATTCTCTGTCTTCCACTTAATAAACAAATGTATGCCAACTTAGTCCTGTTTATTTTTGATGTTGTCTTTTTAGGTTATACTTTGCCTCCCCTTCTTCGACTTCACCCCCCCCCCCCACCACCCCCACCCCCACCCTAATGTTCCTAGAAGTACAGTCTTTACAACTGAATCATGTCTCACCACCTGCCCAAACCAAACAAGCTTGTAACGTTTCACTACTGAGAAAAGAGGCACCTGCTGTACTCCAAATTTGTATATTTTTTCTCTGACATATTTTTTAGCTTTATGTTCAAAATAATCAATTCGTAAACGGCTTCTAATGCATTTACATCCGAAAGCTTGAACCCTCCTTTCCATTTCTACAGTGAGAGTCCAACTATCACATCCGTACAATAAAATAGACAATACCAATGATTTGTAAATATATAGACCTTAACTTTTACTCTACTACATCGTCTTCAGCTGGGACATCGCAGCTGTTGCCATATAACGTCTTGACTTGATCTCTTTGGTACAGTTGCCATCGTTACATATGTCAGAGCCGAGTTATTTAGAGATTTTACCTTTTCTGAGGTTTTTACCCATTTTATCTGTATGTTGGTAGGCATTTGATTTTTTTTTTTTTTTTTTGGTTGCTATTTATCAGAATCTTGCTTTTCTAGGCTATAATGTTCACACCATATTTACCAAATACTGTATCTAATTTTGTATTAAGTTCTTTGAGTCTTGCTTCAGAACGAGCCAGGAGATCAACCTCGTCAGCAAAACGTAAATTATTTTGGCTGTATGTTGGATACGTTTTGTAATGAAGCGGACATCACAGTTCAGGATCTGAAATGGGAATCAAGTGGCTTCGTGGAGCGACCTCTCATGCGCGGCCTGGTAAAAAATACGCAGCTGAAACTATTTTTGCAACGGACCCTACAGATTCCACAGATGGAAAAGTGGGGAGGTTTAATAAAAAACATTTTGACGAATCATCCTCTTCTCCTTATCGATAGTTGTAATGTTTTCAATGATATCCTGAAGTGAGAAACTATCTGCGTGTTCAACATCCTCTTCTCTTCACACTCAGTCCTCCGATGCAGCAGCCACTTCAAGTACCTCTACTGATGTTCCCATGAGGAGTTGGTTGTAATTTCTCATATTGTGGCCTTAAAGGCGGCATAGATGCGGTTCTCCATGCTCTACTCCCAGATCACGCAATCGGATTAGTGTCAAGAGATTCGTCACTATACATTGCCCCATTTACAATTGCGTGTACTGCCTGTTTTCTGAAGAATGTTTGTGAAATCGAATGCAATTGCTTCCTGTGTGGCTGCTATTCGGTTGTCCATGCAATGCTCTGGTAGCAGGGGTAATCTCCATGGTAAATAATGACTGCAGAGTAAAGAAAAGACATCGCAAAGATGGAATGTCAGCTTAAAGAACAGTCTCAACTCAGTACCAAGCAACGCATTCTTTGATTTTTGGGGATCTACTTACATGATATGTTCTTGCTGCCTCTTTTGTCCCATATTCCACGTGTGGGTTACAGGACCCATTTCGGTAGAGAGACAAAAAAGCAGATCCTCTGCCTCCAAACAAGCATGTCGTAAACGACAACTTATAGATGGCGTTTCCTTCGAAGTCCTGAGACCCGAGGAACCAACAGTCTTTACATCATCATCATGTAGCAGGTCCTTTGCAGAACGTAGCTCTCATCACAGTCTGCCTGAAAGAAACTCGGTCTCTCGCCAGTTCTCCTGCCTCATGTACTTTCACACTCAAGGAGTCACTTATATCCTGTGCCCATCTTCGTGTTGGTCTGCCCCTGTCCCTCCTTCCTGGTACCATGCCTTCTGCTATAATTTTTTTCCAGTCCGTCGTGGCGCTTGATATGATCAAAATATTTCAGCTTTCGTGAAAGGATGCTGTTTATTAGCCACTCTTCCTTGATGTTCAGATCTTTTAAGATGTCAGTATTTCTCATCTTCCTTGTAGTCTTTACATAAATAAGTTAAAGCACGTGGGCACGTGTAAATCAAGTTCTAAAAGAAGACCACACTCCAAAAGTGGACGAATAACCAGAACTTTCCACCAGAATTTACCACCGGTGAGCGCTAGAAAAACAAAAGGAGAAGAAGCAGAGATTCCACCAGCTAATGGTTTTGTTTGTGATAAATACACTAGTCAGGATCGTCGTCACAAAGAATTCAAAGGGAAAAAGGGGACAAAGGAGACAGAGAGGAGGAAAAAAAAGGGGGGGGGGTGGCTCAACCCCTTTACAAATTCTCTGAGGTGTAAGGGTGAAGAAGAGGCTAAAGCCTTGTTTGTGTGCTTAGTAATAATAATGAACTGAACTGTAAAAATTTATAATTATATATTTGAAATAAATGTTTTGTATGTCGCTTAGGCGTTGCGAACTTGCTTCTCAATTAAGAAGTGCCAGGTTCGATCCCAGCTACGAGCGACTGTGCAGCAGATCACCTTGCGCTAGTTTAGACCAGTGGTCTCCAATCTGGCGTTAACAAATGGAAGGGGAAGGGGAGGGGAAGGCGTAAGGAGATTTAAAAAAGGACGTCAGGTAATTTAGAAAGTGAGTGCAAGTAAGAGTGTTGTGGAAGCGATCAACAGTGCTGAGGTACAAGTGGATCGTCACGCTCTGAAGAGAACGGTTCACCGAGGAATGATCAGGGAATTTGGCCGACGCTCAACACTTAGAGGAAAGGCGAAACAGTCATACAGTCAGATTGACACTGGTACTATCAAAGTTGGAATTCTGCGCTTGCTGCTGAAGAAGGGGACTGCGCGTTAAAGGGAATGTCACGAGTGTCTTGGTGTTTATTTTTAAATAATTATAACAAATATTAACAAAAAAAGGGCAGATAAATCAAGTTTAATTAATCATGCATTTTATTAAATGATGATTTCCCTTGTATCATTTAACAGAAAAGGAATACACGTAACCGGTGAATTGATATGAAAGTATTCAAGGCAGAAGAACCAAGAACTGAACATTTACCTAGGAACTTTCACAGACTTTATGGCACAACCTGGCAAGACACACCCACAATGAAAGCTGCATACACTTACACCATCAATGATTTGCCATACAGCAGTGGAGGGATACCCAACAGAAACAGCTCCAACCACTTGTCATCAACAACTGCAGAAGGTGCCCTACTTTTCTTTGTAGCAGTCGCCGGCAGCGTGGGAAATCTCACCGCCATGGTCGTGACACTCACCTGCCCTACCTTCCGTCAGATGTCCACAGCCTTCATCTTTCACCACTGTCTCCTGGACGCCATAAAATCGTGTTTCTGCATCCCCTTTGGGTACAGTCTTCTGCAAAGCCGAGAGATTCCCTATTGCGATGTCATTGGTGCCAGCTATATCCTTCTGATGACAGTTTCAGCTTACAACCTCCTGGGTCTTCTAGTCAACGAGGAATACCAGTGCTCCTTTGCCAAGCAACCCTTTCATAAGAATGATGACGCTTGTTGCATAGCATTCGGCGTCATAATCGTTTGGTTCACCACTGTTCTTCTACATCTTGGCGTCATCTTCCTCCCAGGAAAGTCCGAGTTCAGCAAAGATATCGGCAACTGCGTCTACCGGTATGGAGTTACAAAGAACTACGTCATCCATGTACTGTGGGTAATCCTAGTCTCTGGGGCTCTTTTCTTCGCTATTTTGAACTTCTTGAACTTCTTTAGAAAACTCCAATCTGGTCTTCATAGCAATAAATGGACGTTTCTTCATAAATCGTTGTCTTCTTTATCTCGCAGCTACATACATAATGATCAAAACGAAGAGGTTCACTACGAATTTGACAATCGATCATCGCAGAAAGCAATCCAGCTGTCCCGTCAGTATTTGAAAAGAATCATTATTATGTTGTGTATGCTGGTTTCATTCATTATCTGCTGGTACCCTTTCTTCATTCTCATCCTCACTGACATCAAATACCAACAACCGGCTCACATCTACCGCCGACTGATGATGTTGGCTTGGGCCCACCCTGTAACCACGCCAATCTTCTGTGCGATTATCTACCACAACACCAACAACGGACGCCGGCTGACTAAAGACGTCTATAGCAATGCAATACCAATGACGGTCTCGAGATCCGGAGATGCCCTTCGACAGGAGATCAGTCAGACTCGAGTGCTTGCCTTTCGCAATGACAACTTTCAGCCTGTGATAAACCATGCGAGGACACATCCGTCACAGAACCCTAACCTGTCACAGAATGTTATTGTCACCGAGCCTAGCAGCCCGGAACTAAGTGACGCAACAAATCATATTGAGACAATAATAAACTATAACGTAGAAGATGGCAGGTATCAGACACTCATTATGTAAGAATTTATGTATCATTAAATAGTTGTACCTATGGATATCTGCGATAGGACACAATACTATTTCAGAAAATATGCAATATATGAACGCAATTTTATAAACAAACAAGAAATAATGGGGTCAGTCGATATGCAAACCATACAAATGGATATGAGAAGATAAGCAATAGTGTGTAGATATATATGCAATACAGCTTACAAGAGTATTCAATACCATTTTAAATTATGTTTGTTATTTGCTATTTGTTTCACTGATTGATTATTTATTTGCCCCTTGATATTTACCTGCTGGATCGGATGGTTGGTTGATTAGTTTGTTAGCTGTTTAGATTATTGTTGGTTGGGTGATTGGTTAGTTTGTGAGCTGTTTGAATTATTGTTGGTTGTGTGATTGGTTAGTTTGTAAGCTGTTTGGATTATTGTTGGTTGTGTGATTGGTTAGTTTGTTAGCTGTTTGGATTATTGTTGGTTGTGTGACTGGTTAGTTTGTAAGCTGTTTGGATTATTGTTGGTTGGGTGATTGGTTAGTTTGTGAGCTGTCTGGATTATTGTTGGTTGGGTGATTAGTTAGCTTGTTAGCTATTTGAATTATTGTTGGTTGTGTGATTGGTTAGTTTGTGAGCTGTTTGGATTATTGTTGGTTGGGGGATTGGTTAGTTTGTTAGCTGTTTGGATTATTGTTATTTGGGTGATTGGTAAGTTTGTGAGCTGTTTGGATTATTGTTCCCTGGGTGATTGGTTAGTTTGTGAGCTGTTTTGATTATTGTTGGCTGGGTGATTGGTTAGTTTGTTAGCTGTTTGGATTATTGTTGGTTGGGTGATTGGTTAGTTTGTTAGCTGTTTGGATTATTGTTGGTTGGGTGATTGGTGAGTTTGTTAGCTGTTTGAATTATTGTTGGTTGGGTGATTGGTTAGTTTGTGAGCTGTTTGGATTATTGTTGGTTGGGTGATTGGTTAGTTTGTTAGCTGTTTGGATTATTGTTGGTTGGGTGATTGGTGAGCTGTTTGATTGGTAAGTGTGTTTGTTGATCGGTTGCTTTATTGGCAGACTGGCTACCTTTTTGATGGTTTGGTTTCTTGAGTTGATTGTCTGATTGATTGGTTGGTTGATTGGTTATATTTTGATTGGTTGTTTTTTTCGTTTATATGTTGGTCAGTTGCTTGCTTGACTAGTTAACTGGTTAGCTATTTTATTTGTTGGTTGTTAGTTTATTGTCGTTGATTGGTTGGTCAGCTGCTTGTTTGATTGGTTAACTGGTTAGCTATTTTATTTGTTGGTTTGTTAAATTGATCGGTTGTTAACTTGATTAGTTAACTGTTTGAGTGGTTGTTTGTTTGGTTGGTGGATTTGTCGTTTTGTGTCGTTGATTGATTGGTTGGTTCTTTGATTGGCTAGCTGTTTCACTGGTTGGTTGCTTTAGTTAATTGATTGACTGGTTGATTACTTGGTTTGTATCCTTGATTGACTAGTTTTTTTTTAATTGGTTAGTTGGTTGATATGTTGATTATTACCTTGTTTGCTTCCTAACCCCCCAGACGGAATCGGCATCCAGTATATTTGCTTGCATGTAGTCATACAATGATGAATTGCATAGATGCTGTTCCTATATACTTACTAGACTTGCCTGGTTGTATTTATAACCTCTATGATGTTGTTGAAGGAGTTAGAAAACAATGATGTCAATCACACCCACTGGAGGCAACCACATACGATATAACAAGTAAAGGTAAGCCCTAACCAATAACCAAGATCTAAACTAGTTAATCTCCACATCCTTACACTAGAGTCATCCTCAACCCTAAAGTGGTTAACGAAAAGGGGAAAAAGGGTAAAATAATATGGGCGGGATATATGTAATGATGGAATTCCCGGGGAACCCTTTATGACGCGGCAGAGTGACAGGCCAGTGAAAAAAACGGGCTACACAAAATAAATGATAGTCACGAAGGGGAGTGAATAGTTACCAACCCAAAGGGAACAAAAGGTTGAAAGGGATGTCGTCTGCGTCATGAAAGCAAGTGGATTGGCTGCGGTGTTTAGTCCACGAAGACAGACGAGCGTTTGCCAAATCTACGTTACTGATGATTCCTTGCATGTTCGTCAGAATGAGAAGCCTGGACTGAAATGTAAATACTTGTGTGCTCGACGAACGATGTTATCTGCATACTTTGTGTCAGCCAGTTTCACACCGACTAGATAACGAGACACCGACTGGACTACATTGTTTTTGGAACTGCAATAAACATCCGACCGACTCCAATGGCTGTGGTTTACATGATTGTGTGCTAACTCACTTAAGAATATAATAGAAGTTAGAAACACCTCCAGGCAGGTCCAGTTTGTACCCAGGAACAGCATCATTCCACTGAGAAACACTTCCCTGTATGGGTTCCGAGGCCCCATTGTAAGTAAAGTAAAGATCCCTTTACACGCTTTAGGCGCATCGGGCATATGGGAAGAGCACCCATATTTTTACAGACCAATCAGCACTGGGTGGGTAATGTGGTCAGCATTACGCCGGCCATCTCTCTTTCCCAAGGACAGCCATCCTGGTACCCATTTAAGGCTGGGTCGACCTGCAACATCCATACCACGATAAAAATCCACGCAGCCCGCAGTGGGTTTCGATCGCGGTACGTTGGATTACGAGTCAGACTCGTAACGCCTTAGGGCTCCATTGTGGCGAAAGCAAAAATAGACTCACTGCCTCCCAAACAAGCATGAGACATCCACAGAGACATATCTATTGGAGGGAGGTTGGTGTAGAGACCTGCCTTGGAACCAAATACCAAAGTGCAGTCTCCATGTGGTCTGCGTTGGTGTTTTACATTTCCTTTGCCGGAGTGCAAAGCCTCCAATGGAACATATCTGTAGAAAAGCATATTAGGATATAACCAGTTCATAATTCCACCCAGGATATGCTGAATGTCTCGGGCTGTGTCTAGGCTGACAATGTTACCCCCACAAGGTTTTGGCATTTTATTATCATTTTCATTTTCTGAAATTGATCTTATTCTTTTTCTGTCCTTTATACTCCAGCGAAGTGTACTTCTTCTTCTTGTTAGCTTTCACCGACTGTAAATTCTAGAACCTAAGCTTTGCGTGCACATCCCTTTTACACATCTGGCTAATTTATATCCAATTCCCCCTCCACCATCGGCTACCTTCAGTTCAGCCCCGATGCCAACACGTGGACAAGGGAGGATTCGACCTCAACTAACTCGTGCCAACCTCCATTTAGACGTCTTCAAAACTTGTTGGTTTTTGTAGCTGCAGTTTTACGGAAGTGAGTAGATAACCCTCCAGCACAGTCACACAACTAACAGCCCATTACGACATGTTTCTTAACAGACACGAGATCTGCTGTCTACGGGTCTAATGACGCGTGACTAGCATTGACAGTGACAGATTCAATGAGCATGTTCAGGAAAGTCCACAGTGGCAAACAAGGTTGATAGCTTCCAGAATAGAACTGGTACTATTTATTACCTACCTCACGCTAGGGTTCATACTGAGGGGAGAATCTGAACACATATGGACATATCTGGAGTGAAACAATGATAGCCCAACTAGCTAACTTGCATTCAGAAATCCCGTGTCAAGAAATTATCTTGACTGCACACAATGGTATATGCCGGGGTGAAAGAATATGAAAGAGCCGACAGACTGGCCGTATCTGCGGTGACTGGTGGAGGAAGAAGTATAGAATTTGCAGACACATCGAATGAGCTGCGTTCCAGAGACTTTATGACAAAGGAGTCAGACACGATGAACCGCTAGCTGGAAATGGGTATTTCACGAGAACAAGCATGTAGAAACCTGTCGCGAGGCACAGAAAGAAGATATGCCAGTCAATTCTTACTAGGCACGGTAAGCATTGAGACACTGAGATGGCTGGTCCATCGGAGGTCTGCGCTTGAGTGGGTCGGATCGATGTGCTAGAATATCGATCGATACGGGCAACTAGCAGCAAGTTAGACGTGACTGTCAGTTCTTGACCATCTCCTGCTATCTTCCATTGCTGTTTGCCCGTTCTGTCAAACTGCTACTTTATCAGTTTTTCTGTTTCGAATATTTCATTTCATCGTTGTTATCTCTCTGCACCAGGTCATCCGCCCGGGTTCCATATTTTGCTGTATATTGTTTATGAGTTTTAAGAATATCATGGGTAAATAAAAGAACACTTGCATCCATACTTCAAGAACTGAATATTGAAGAAGGTTAGCTATTAAAGACGATAAAGCACAAACAATTTAAATATTTTGGTAACTTTAAACGCCACGAAAGTTTAGAGAGAACAATAATGGAGGGGTTTATAGGTGGGAAGAGAGGAAGAGGACGGCCAAAGAGAAGACGGTGTAGGATGTAGCCGATGATCTCCAGATGGGTGTATCGGAAGCTGGACGTCTTGCTTGTGGCTGAGAAGTTTTCAGGAGGGTTGTTATGGGAGCAAGGTTCTGCAAAGGCATGCTAATGACTGACTGACTGACCGACTAATTGACTGACTGACCGAGTGTTTGTAAGAGTAATGATCCACAGCTGGTTCAAATTTTTGCATCATTTCATTCATTCATTATGAAATTCATTCATCCATTTTCATGTCTTCCTTTCTTTCAGTCCTTCTATCATTCAGTATATGATTGATTCGTTCATGCATTCATTATTTCATGGACTCGTTACCCCATTAATTACTGCCTCGTTTTTTTTAATCCATTGATACCATTGATTAATCCCTTATCCGATTCTTGTTCGTTTATTCATATTTTATTCGTTTGTTACAATTTATCTTCCTTCATTAATTATTTTGTTTCAATTCCCTGATTCATCCCTCACTGACTCACTTCTACATTCATTCATTGACTTATTCAAGATTTTGTATTTAAAACATCATATTTAGAGATCAACAAACAATTTAAAACATATTCACAGCTATTGATTCTTCTTTATTGAACTATTTTAAGTATTGATAGCTCCTGTAAACACACATTTTATCAACAGACGCA